TTACAGCCCATCCTCCCTTTAAAGTTTTGAAGTTAAGGTGAAATTAATATAATCAGGTACAGAAAAGGAGATACATAGTCCCGTCATTGGAGAAGTAATAATGCTTTAACTCGCCTCCAAAATGGGGATACTTTTACCTTGTTCTTCAGGACTCCACACTCCTCAGAAGAATGCACTGCTAAGTAAATACTGCTTAGACCCATTGTGTCCTAGGAAAAGAGCTAGAGCAAGGAAACTGAGGGTGATGGGCAGACAGAGAGAGAGATAGAGAAGACAGTCCAAAGGCAAAGAAACTGAGGGTGATGGGCAGACAGAAAAACGGGGTTAGAGAAGAAAACTTTCCAGAAGTGTTTGCCACACATATTCTTTCTTACTATAGGGCAGAAATTCTTAAAACTTGTTGTGTGTCATGGACTGCATTAGCAGTCTGGTAAAGCCCATGAACCCTTTCTTGGAAATAATTGTTGGGGGGTTTTCTGTTCAAGTTCAGAGACCCCCTGAAGTCTCCAAGAAACTGGGGTTGCAAGGTCTCCAATCTTACCTGAGCCCCATGTCACCCAAAGACCATGTTTCTGAGAACTCACGTTTAGAGCGCCTACCCTAGCTTAGAAGACGAGCACAGGGAAATGCTAACTAAGCAAGTAAAATGAAAAAGTGGGGAGTGACCCCGAGGGAGGGGGAAGTGCTCTCCAGGTTTCGGGTTGGTTTCATGCTCTGCTTATAAAAAAAAAAGTTGAGAACCCCTGGGATTTATTTTGCAAATTGTATATGGCACAATCTTGCATACATTTCCTCCTCTGTTCACTGATTTAGGAATTCAAGACTGTTGCCAGTAACAGTGAAGAAAGGAGACTGAATACTGGGATGAGCCCATGGCTGCCATTTATATTGGGTGGGATGAGGGTGGTAAGGTCACATAGGTATGATTTTCACTTCTCTCTCTTCCTCTTAATTTTGCCTGGTGATGTGTTTTGGCTCCTTGGTTCCGCTAGAACCATTATAGTTGCCAGTTTCTCTTTTCTGCTGATTCCCAGCAGAGTCTCCTCCTTGGCTCTAGCGAGAATCATGTTACTTCAGAAGGATATTTGGACATTTTCCCAGGGACTTGAGGGCTACCCTGTATTTTTCTAGGGAGGAAAAAAGTGACCAAGTAAGTAATCAAAAGTAGCAGCTGCCAGGTTCTGTCTCCTCTGCACCATAGCCTTGGTCTATGAGATGTCTTAGACCCTTGAATATTGCACCCCAGAGAAAGTGTACCATTCCTGCCACCCCCCAAAGTTCCACTTCATAGCTTGGCATCATGGAACTTTGCCAGGCAGAAGTCCCACACTGACCACATTATATTTGGAATTCTTTGATAGATGTTTGTCCAGATTCTCTCCAAATTCTGCCTTCTTCCAAAATAAAACTGAGGCTAGAAAGAATTGGATGTTGCTATTTTTCAGGCTCCTGATGAGTTCTCCTATTGGGTGTCTTCATTCTGATTCTGCTATCAGCCTCTATATATTGAGGTTTTCAGGGCAGGGGGTAATTAGGGCCCAGCAGAGTTTCTAGGAACACTAACTAGCAGCTTAAGAATAGTAAATAATCACTCCACTATCCATTGGCAGAAAGCTCAAAATAGGAGATAGGTAATAGGTATGTTATCTATCCTGGTCAAAGTGTAAGTAAACATAATTGGGATGACAGAGTTCTAAGGAGATGAAACAATTGACATTTTTCCTAAGAATTGGACTGGTTACATCTGTAATTTTGTGGCTGATTTGGGGAAGTCAGGTCTTAGCTGGATATTCACTTTGGGAGGAAAATACAGCATGCTACATTAAACACTTAATTTTTCTTGTGTATTTGCATCAATTCTCATAATATCCTTGGGTTATTCTATTCAAGTAAAAATGTTTCGAAGGCATTATGTACCTAGCACTTTGCAAATAGGTAAAGGAGGGCCCCAAATGGCTCAGAAGGCTGCATGCTGCAGTGGGAAAAGAACTGATTTTGGAGTCAGAGGACCTGAGTTCAAATCCTAATTCTGCCCCTTACTACCTCTGTGACTTCAGACAAATGACTTAACCTCTCCGTGACTCACCTTTCTCATCTGTTAAATATGGCATTTAGATGCCTTGTAAGGACCTTTTGTTTCTAAATCTGTAATCCTGTGGTCTTTGACTTACACAAAGTTTTCAAGCAAGAAATTAGACTAGAACTGAGAAGTTTAGATTACCTTTCCTGAACTTTATTTGGTAGATAGACTCATTATCATTATAAGTGTTCACGTTTCTGTTGCCTCCATACAGAGGGCTTTCCTCACAACTCCAAAATTTTGGTTAGTAAAAACAAGGATTATTATCATCATTTTTCATGTGAGGAAGCTAAGACTCCTGGATAATTGACTTGTCCAAGGTCATATAGCTCTAATAGGTGGTAAAACCAGGAATATAATTCTGTTGGTTCAAAACCCCAATGTGTTTTCCATTATGCCACACCTTTCTTTGAGGCAACTAGGTGACTCAGTGGATAGAGTGCCTGGACCTGGGGTCAAGAAGATTTAAATTTAAATCCACCCTCAAACCCTTACTAGGTGTGAGACCTGGGCAGGTCACTTAACCTTGTTTTCCTCAGTTTCCCTAGCACTTACAACACTTACCTCAAAGAGTTGTTTCAAAGATCAAATGAAATAATATGTAAAGCATTTAGCACAGTGCCTGGCATTTAGTAGGTGCTACTCAATGCTAATTCCCTTCCCTTTTATCCAAAGATGGATGACAAAGAAAACAGAAGGGCAGTTAGAAGAGATGTTGATAGCTTCTTGGTCAAGGACTTAGATGTGCTACGTAGCACCTTATCCATACTCAAAGAACAGAAATAAATAGTAATAGAAATAGAAATAAAAGGCAGCATATTAGAAAAAGGAGTAGGGATGAAATCAGTGGTTATCATTAATCAGCTATCAGGTATGCAGAAAGAAGGAAGGAAGGAAGGAAGGAAAAGAAAGGGAAAAGTTCCTAGTAATCCTAAGTTCCCTGGTACAGGTTATAACTTTGGGGTTTTGTTTTATGTGTATATGGGGTTTTCATTTTTCTCATTTATTTTTAGATTAGAAGGTTTGCAAGTTCTCTTTTTCAGTGTTGTTTTGGTCTTTCAATGTGTTTGAGTGCTTTGAGATGAGAATTTAGAAATTAGCAGATGTCCACTTGTGTCTATAATAGTTTAGACACCATTTTACCTACCCTGGAAATCCTTGAAATAGTAATGGTTTCATGTCTTACCCCAAACCACCAGCCTGCTTGTTTTCATTGAAAGACCTAGAGTCTTGTAAAACTTTTTCTTAGTCCAAGGAGAAGAGCGTTCTAGAAAGAATCCAGGAGTGGGCAGACTCCGGATTCCCAACCAGCACAGTGGATTTGTCAGGTCCAATATTTGCCTTCCAAGATGTTGAGAATCTGTGAACAGCATCTGTGCTGCTATTTAAAAAAAGGGAGGAGGCTAGGGACAAAAGAGGTATCATAATAATTTATTAAATTAATAAGTTAATCAAATAAACATTTCATGAAATTTAGAGAAGGGGGAACTCGTTATCTCTATGGACATAAAATATTCTTCCCTAACTCCGTGCCATTTCTAGGAGTAGTAATAATAATAATAATAGTTGAAATTTATTTAGCATTTTAATGTTTACAAAATGCTTTAAATGCATTATTTCATTTGATCCTCACGCCAGTCCTGTGAGGTAAGGACTATTATGATCCCATTTCACACACGAGGAAAATAAGTCTGAGAAGCTAAATGAGGTGCCCAAGATCACACAACTATTAAGTGTGTGAAGGCAGGATTTGAACCAAGAGCTTCTTGACTCCAAGTCTAGCACTCTAGCACCGTGCTCCCTTAAAGAGTTCATCCCAGATGAACAAAACAGGAATTATGGAGCCTGGCGCCTCTCAGACACCCTTTTAGTGGCTGCTGGACCATAAAGACTTAATCGTATATCGTCCATCATGATATATTCCTAAGTAGACTTGGGTGCTCAGCTCCTGGCTCACAGATCAGCCAGGATCTAAAGAAGGAGCCTGAGTTTTGAGGGGAGAATGGAGAGGTTCCCCTGGAGCCTGTATGGAGATTTAAAGGAATCTTGACCCTTTTCTTTCAGGGACCTAACCTAGGGCCAAGCCCCTCATAGATCCCTAGGAATGACTAACGCCATTTAAAAAGTCCTGTGCTCAGGTATTATGGAAGAAATGGCTATGACTAGTGCTAATTCTAAGGAGTGAAAGTACACCTTCATGTACTGCCTTTTTAAAATTCATCATGGAAAGAAAGCTGCCAGCTTCTGAGAATTGCCCATTTACATAACTCGCTGACTAAAATGGGATATTAGATAATGTTACACAGCGGCTCACTCAATTTTAGCCCGTTCCCAGGATATGAGAGTAATCCAGAAGCCTTCAGACAGCATGTTGTGCAGTCCTCTGGCCTGAAGCCATCCCATCATGTTGTGTGATCCTGTCAGCACTCCCAAGCTGAGCAGATGTCAGGCCTGATCAGGAGGAGGATGGGAGTCTTAGCTGCATGCTAGAGCAAGTGAGGAGAGTGTTTCAGCAAGTGGCACACTTTCTTTGGTAACAACCAGCATCTCTCCTTGAGCATCACAGCAGGGACATTGTGCCCACCAAAGGTGCTGTCTTACAGATGAGACCAACTTAAAGAGATGGGGGAGGAGGACGCAGTGTGGTGATCCGTGGCCATCAAGCAGGATGTGGGTGGGAGAGAAGGAAGAGGTCAGCTTTGATGCCATTCTTGGTCCCGTGCCTGACCTGAGATACCAGTTTTCCTCCTGGTCATGAATCTCCGTTCCCAGCAACTCCCTACAGCCCACATCACCAGGGTTATTACAAATGAGTGATCATGGAGTGGCTTTGCAGCTGACATGGGGTCGGGTAAACATCTCCCCTCAGTGGACATGATGCATCAAAGAAAGAATTTGTGTTTGTTTCTTTGTTTTGCAGTGTTCCTGTTCCTATAGTCAGTTTAGAGAAAATTCCTAACCTAGTGAAGGCAGACGGTGCCAATGTCAAAATGAACTCAGCAACCACTACTCCTGTGACCTCTGCCACCTCTTCCTCTGCCGTGCCTACCCCACCTTTAGTTAAACCGGTGTTGATGTCCAAGCCGGTGCCACCATCACCAGAGAAGATATTGAATGGCAAAGGAATCGTATCTCCCTCAGTAGACAAGAAACACCAAAATGGCACCAAAAGCAACAAGCCTTACAAGAGACTTTCAGGTAGGTCCCAGCACCTTCTGAGTCTGGCAGCCTGCTGGCCCCCTCCCTCTCCCCAGCTGAGTGGCTGCCACTCCCACTCCTATCAGCCCTGGCACCTCCAAGTGAGGTCCTTCTTCCTGTGAAAGGGGAGCTGCAAGTGGGATTGACCTGCAAAGAGCCCCCACTGGGAAGATCATTCATTCACAAAATCCTAGCTTAAAATGGCTTTGCTGTTACCAGGATCCAGTTAAATCTGTGTGTTTGCTTAAGTGCCCTGTCTTCCAGCCTAAAGAACTAATGGAGGCCATTCTAGCCACACAATAACAACAACAATAAATCCGAATAATTTCCAGGGCCACTGTAGTCATCTAGTTCTGCACAGACATTTTCTGCTGACAGACAGGCTCATTGACTCACTCTAGTAACTTTCAACAGTGGCTTAGGAAAACTCTCAATGACATCTCTCAAAGAGCTCAGTAGAGATTAGGGATGGTCATGCCAATAGGTTTCAAAGGAGGAAATTCAGCCTCTGCCCTTTTTCATGGTAGGTTTCCAAGTTCATTCTGGGTTTTCCTACTCCAGCTTCCGCCACATGATTGGTTCAGTGTTCTCTTTTTTAAAAGCCCAAGCCAGAGCTGTTGACAGTGGCTTTTGTCATTGGAATTAGCTTCAGTGCTCCCCAGAGCAGTCACTTGAGCAGCCCTGCCTGGCCACCTCTGAGTTGGTTCCCTGTAGAACTGAGTGATCTCTCAAACTGTTTTGTTTTGTTTTTCCAGCAGGATTCCCTACGTGAATGGGGCATTGGTTTAGATTTGTCAGCTCAAGTGCCATAGAAGATAGTGTGGGTGCAAGACCCATATTGACAATAAGCTAAAAGAAAGACCACACTGGGGTGACGAATAGTGGGGCGGGGGGTTATACAGAATATTATCTGTAGTAGAGACGCCACTAAAAATAAGACTTTGGACCCACTAGATTCCAGAAAAAGTTAGTGAATCAAGTTTGACAGCCTTAAATAGTTCAGTGTGTGCTATTCATCGGCATGACAAGGTTTAGGGTCAGGGACTCAGGTTTTCTTATACTGATACTGCCTCACAGACTCCATGCCCCAGCTATTCTTCCTAATGGGAATTTACACTTTTGTCTCACAGAAGTGAATGGAAAGTTTTTTTTAAACAGTGCAGACATAGACATGATATTTCCAAAAGCATTCACTTCATTTTCTATGACAAATGTGTGATCCTGGACACCAGTCTGGATTTTTGTTACTGCTATTTGGAGGAAGGGGAAGGGAAGAAAGGTTGTTGTCATTGGTTTGTTTTGGTTTTTGATGGTGTATTTTTTTTATCTCTCTGCCTTTCTTCTGTTTCTTCCACCTCTCTTTCACACTTGGCAGCCATCTTTCTGCCCCTGCCTGAATGGCCCAGCTCCAAAGCAATGTGAGGTGTTTGCTCTGTGGGGGGGGGGCAAGGAGGGAGTGGGGGTGCTTGAGGGCTCCACACCAGGGTAGGGCTGACTGCCTTCTACCTTGGCTTCTTTCTTAATGACTTCAGAGCAGCTCACAGGGAAACGGGTGCCCCCAGTCCTAACTGTTTTCAGCTCTTAAAAATGAAGCAAAAATAAAAGGCACTTTGGCAGAAACCTGCTGGGGAATTTGGCTTAGGACTAAAGCCTGTTTTATTCACACCCCTCCTCCACCCCCCCCACCCCCACTCCCATCTCCATTTCTTTAAAATGGAACACTTCCATTCACTAGTTTCAGACTTTGTACCAGCAACCATCCAGACAGATTTTCAGAGTCTTAGCAAAATCTGCTCAGTTTACAACTAGCCCCCCCACACACACCAGCACCCTTCCCCCATTCCACTCCATTATAGAAACCATCCAGGCCCTCCATTAAGTTCATTTATCCCATAGTCAGTTTCTACCCACACAAATACCACCACCCCCTCCACCACCATCCATATACTGGGGAGCATTTGTTGTGATCATTTTCAAAATAATAGCTAAATTTATAGCTATTTTGAGGTTTGTTAAGCATTTACATACATTATCTCATTTGATCCTTAGCAGGGTAAAGTTGGTTCTGCTGGCATCCCAACTTACACATGAAGAAACTGAGGCTAAGAAAAGTTAAGTGATATGCCAGGGTCACATAGCTAGTATGTGTCTGAAGCAGGTCTTCCCTATTTCATTCCTGTTCTCTGTTCCCTACACCATGGTGCCATAGCATATTGGGTCCAAACTCTTTATTTTATAGATAAGGAAAAGAGGTGAAATGACTCTTCCGACTCCTAATCATTCAGTCCTCTGTTCTTTCCGCTGCCTCAGCTGACAGCAGAATCTGTTTCAAGATGGCTTCTAAGATGAGGCAAAGTCCTTCAGTGGCATAAGCTATCAGAAGGGAACAGTCCCTGCAGTATCACCTAGAACAGCTTCCTTAATTTGATGAATGAGGACATTTGGGTGAAGGGATTAAATGACTTGCCCTGGAGTCCTACGACTAATTAGTAGTATTACTAAGACAAACTAGGACTCAGCACATGTAGCCCAGGGTTCTTTATGTCACCCTACATTGTCCCTCTTACATAGAGCAGCAATTTTAAAACTGCATCTGAATAAATCCACAGGTTTCTGAGGAGCTTCCTGGCCTCTGCTCTCCAAGAAAGCCAGGAAAATGAATTCAATGATGGGCTCCATTAGGAGAGTGCAGGCTTCCAGGAATGAGGAGGATGTAGCTCTGTTGTACAGAGCACATCTGCAATGTTGTGTTGATCCTGGGAGCCACATTTTAGGAAGGACATGGAGAACTGGAAGTGGCCAGTAGAGGGCAGCCAGGATGGTCATAGAATTATGGATAGAACTAGAGCTATAAACAGGCCCCAGGGCCTACAGTCCAAAGATCCCCTCATCTTATAAATAAGCAGACAGGTCATGGGAGATTGAGTGATTTGCCTGAGGTCACCTAGGGTGTGTCACAGGTGGGATTCGGACTCAATGTTGAAGGGTTTCAAATTCATACCATAAAAGAAATCAGTTGAAGAAACTGTGGTTATTTAGCTTAGAGAAAGAAAAGTCATGATCACTGTCTTCAAATATTTCAAAGGTTTTCATAAGAAAGGGGGGTTAGATGTTGCTTAGCAGTAGAGAAAAGAACTAGTTGCAAAGTAGAAGGTACATGTTTGGGTTTGAAAAACTTCCTAAAAATCAGAGCGATCTAAATATGGGATGTCATGTCTTGAACAAAGTGGATTCTTCCCCCTTTTGGAGCCCTGAAGCAGTGGCTCTATGACCACATGTTCAGTATGTTAGAGAATTCTTTTTTTCCCCAGTTGAACTGAATGGCCACTGAAGTGCCTTCTAACACAGAAATTCTGTAATTCTGCGATCCCTGCTGAACTGGATTCAGTGGGAGAAATTGAGAATGGACACTGTGGAAAAGTCACATGTCCCAGGAGATGTGAATGTTTCAGAGAAATTGGCAAGTCAAGCTTATCCCTTTTATTAATGTGGGTGGCCCTTGTCACAAAATATGAAAAGGAAACTAGCTACAGATTCGTCAAGTCAAGTAGCAACAACAGCTGACATTTATAAAGCACATGAAGGTTTGCAAAGCACTTTACAAATAGTACCTAATTTTGTTCTCACAACCACCCTTATTACACCCCATTTTGCAGACAAAGAAACTTGCTCAGGATAGTACAGCTATTCGCCTGACTCCAGGTCCAACATTCTATCCACTGTGCCACCTAGCTGCCTCTAAACATTTAACCAGCATTTGTTAAGTGACTACTATGTGCCAGGAACTGTGGTAAACATTGGAGACAAAGAGAAAGGCCAAAACAGCCACTGCCTTCAAGAACCTCAGAGTTTCATGGGGGCTAGAACATGTATGAACTATGTACAGACAACTGAGGGAAGGCGTTAGCATTTAAGGAGTAGGAAAGGTGGGGTTTTAGCTGGGACTTGGAGGAAGCCGTTAGGTGGAGAGCATTGCAGACATGGAGGAGTGCCAGTGAAAATGCATAAAGTGGGGAGGTGAGTGTCTTGTACAAGGAATAACAAAGACATTATTGAATTGTAGAGTATGTGGACAGAAATAAGATGGAAGAAGAATGGAAAGGTAGGAAGCTGGCCAGGTTGCAAAGGGCTTAAGGGCCAGACAGAGAATTTTATACCTGATCCTGGAGGCAATACAGAGCCATTGGATTTGATTGAATAGGAGAGTGACATGTTCAGATGTGTACCTTAGGACCATCTTTCCTTGGGTCTGTCTTCTATCATCCAGGGGCCTCAAGCACCATAGCAATCCTGGACCCAGTAAATGGCTTCAGGACTCTCCTCTTCCTGTATCTTCCAGGAGTCACACCCAAACATGAGAAATTAGCCATGGGGGGGAAGGGGGGGCGGAACCAAGATGGCGGAGTGAAAGCAGTGACTTGCTTGAGCTCTCCCCCAAATATCTCCAAATACTCATAAAAAATGTCTCTAAACAAATTCTGAAGCAGCAGAACCCACAAAAAGACAGAGTGAAACAAATTTCCAGCCCAAGACAACCTGGATGATTGATCAGAAAGGTGTATTGTGCCGGGCTGGGAGCACAGCACAGCACAGCGTGGGCATGCAGGCCGCAGCAAACCTGGAGCAGGCCTCAGAGGACTGAATCTCGGGAAGCTGTGGAGGTTTCCAGACTCCTCAATCCACGAATGCCAAAGACAACTTAGAAGGTCAGTGGGAAAAGTCTGTTTCTGTTGGTGCTGAGAAAGGAAGGTGGGGTTTCAGCTCCATTCCCCAAGAGCTCGGCCCTGGGGGGGCAGCTGCTTCCCGAGCTTCCGGCCCACAGACTGAGGGGGAATCCAGTGGCTGATCAGAGAGGGACTGCAGGGATCTCTTTGCCAGTGCTGAGGCAGGAATCTCTTGCTTTGCCCTGTTTGGATCTGGGTCACAGTTCTGGGCGCAGTGCTGGGGTGAGGAGGACGCTGGCTTGGTGGAGCTTGAGTGGTGGAGAGGAACCCTCCTCACAGTTACAGGACAGAAAGGATACTTGTGGTCACAGGCCAGGAAAGGAGTAAACACCTCGCCCCTTATCATACCACCTTGGAAGAACTGAAAATTTACAGGTCCCTACAAGTATCTCTGAAAACAGCTGTACAAACCCCCTGAAGCTTGAGACAGTACATTCTCCACATTGGAAACAGACTCTTACCTTAACAAAGAGTTTAAAACTCAAGTAATTGGCTGGGATCATGAGCAAGCAGTGCAAAAAGAGTCAGACTATATTATCTTACTTTGGTGAAAAGAAGATCAAAATATACAACCAGAAGAAGACAACAAAGTCAAAGCTCCTACATCCAAAGCCTCCAAGAAAAATATGAATCAGTCCCAGGCCTTGGAAGAGCTCAAAAGGGATTTTGAGAAGCAAGTAAGGGAAGTAGAGGAAAAAGAAAAATGAGAGTGATGCAAGAAAATCATGAAAAACAAGTCAACAGCTTGCTAAAGGAGACCCAAAAAAATACTGAAGAAAATAACACCTTAAAAAATAGCCTAACCCAAATGGCAAAAGAGGTCCAAAAAGCCAATGAGGAGAAAATGCCCTAAAAAGAAAAATTGGCCAAATGGAAAAGGAAGTCCAAAAGCTTACTGAAGAAAATACTTCCTTAAAAATTAGAATAGAGCAATTGGAAGATAGTGACTTTATGAGAAATCAAGACACAGTAAACAAATCCAAAAGAATGAAAAATTAGAAAACAATGTGAAATATCTCATTGGAAAAACAACTGACCTGGAAAATAGATCCAGGAGAGAGAATTTAAAAATTATTGGACTATCTGAAAGCCATGATCAAAAAAAGAGCCTAGACATCATCTTTCAAGAAATTATCAAGGAAAACTGCCCTGATATAGTAGAACCAGAGGGCAAAATAGAAATTGAAAGAATCCACAGATCTCCTCCTGAAAGAGATCCCCAAAGTAAAACTCCTAGGAATATTATAGCCAAATTCCAGAGTTCCCAGGTCAAGGAGAAAATATTACAAGCTGCCAGAAGGAAAAATTCAAGTACTGTGGAAACACAATCAGGATAACACAAGATTTAGCAGCTTCTACATTAAAGGACCGCAGGGCATGGAATATAATATTCTGGAGGGCAAAGGAGATAGGATTACAACCAAGAATCACCTACCCAGCAAAACTGAGTATAATCCTTCAGGGGAAAAAATGGTCATTCAGTGAAATAGAGGACTTTCAAGCATTCTTGATGAAAAGACCAGAGCTGAATAGAAAATTTGACTTTCAAATACAGGACTCAGTGGAACATGAAGAGGTAAACAGGAAAGAGAAATCATAAGAGACTTATTAAGATTGAACTGTTTACATTCCTGCATGGAAAGATGATATTTGTAACTCATGAGACCTTTGTCAGTATTAGGGTAGTTGGAGGAAAAAAATTGTATGTATGTATATATAGATAGATAGATAGAGGGCACAGGGTGAGTTGAAGATTAAGGGGTCATATCTGGAGAATAAAATTAAGGGATGAGAGAAGATTATACTCGGAGAAGAAGAAAGGGAGAGGTAGAATGGGGTAAATTATCTCACAAAAAAAAACAGAAAAGAAAAGTCTCTTACAGTGGAGGGGAAATGGGGGAAGGTGAGAGGGAATGAGTGAATCTTATTCTCATAGGATTTGGCTTCAGGAGGGAATAACATACACATTCAATTGGGTATGGAAATCTGTCTTAACCTACAGGAAAATTGGGGGAGAAGGGGACAAGAGAGGGGGATGATAGAGAGGAGGGCAGATTGGGAAAGGGGTAATCAGAAGTAAATACTTCTGAGGAGGGACAGGGTCAAAAGAAAGAATAGAATAAATGGGAGGGCAGGATAGGATTAAGGGAAATAGAGTTAGTTTTTCACAACATGTTTACTATGGACGTGTTTTGTATAACTGCACATGTCTAACCTATATTGAGTTGCTTGCCTTTTCAATGAGGGTGGGTGGGGAGGGAGGAAGAGAGAAAATTTGGAACCCAAAATTTTAAAAACATATGTTTAAAAAAAATGTTTTCACATGCTACTGGGAAATAAGAAATATAAGAAATGGGGTACAGAAGTCTATCCTGCCCTACAAAATAGAAGGGGAAGGGGATAAGAGAAGGAGAGAGAGATAGAAGAGAGGACAGAGTAGGGGAAGGGATATTCAGAATGCATGCCGTCTTGGGGCGGGGGGAGAGGGGGAGATGGGGTGAAAATTTGGAACTCAAAAACTTGTGGAAGTGAATGTTGAAAACTACAAGTAAATAAATTTATGTTAAAAAAAAAACAATAAAAATGAGAGTGAAGCAAGGGGGAAAAAAAAAGAAATTAGCCATCCAACGCTGCTCTGTGTAATTCCTGTGGATTAGTGTCTATTGTGGAGCAATAGCACCCCAGGGAGGTTCCCCAAAAGGTATGGAGAGTAAACATGGACCCAGAGCAATGCAAAGGAGATCCTGACCTCCAAGGGGTTGTCCCAGTCAACACTTAAACCCATTAGCTGTCTTCCATTTTCTAAAAGGTGATAAGCAGAGTTGAGCTTGGGTTATACCTTGGCCATACATTCTGAAAGTTGAAGGATGTGTGGGCAGCAAGAAGAGGTTTTGGTGGTCCCAGAAGATAATGGTCCACCAAAAGGATTAAGCATAAGGCAGGTTTTCCTAGGAGTGTTAGCGTGACCACTCAGCATTGACATCAGGACAGAATAGTTTGCAGGAGCCTGTGAAAGGTAACTAACTCTCTCATTCTTCCATCTCTCCAGTTAATCAGAATAGGACTTGCTGTCCTATCCTGATAAAAAGCTACTGCTGATAAATGTTTAGGAGGTGTCTGCGTGCTGGTGACCTGCAACTTCAGTCTGATTCCTTTGTATATACTCATTCATTCCCTTGCCTCTTGCCTGGGATACAGCCAGAAGCATGCCCTGGACAGAAAGGTTTTCTTGTTCTTGTTCTTGTTTTTGTTTTTCTATGATAGCTCAGATTCTTATAGAGAGACACATTGGCCTACTTGAATAGAGAGCTGGCTTCAGAGTCAGGAAAACCTAGACTCAGCTTCCACCTCTGACATATACTGGCTGTGTGACCCAGAGCAAGTCACTTAACCTCCCAGTTCCCAAGGCAACTCTCTTAGACTTTTAAATTGCAAAGGAGATCCTGACCTGCATTGGTAGAGGGAATATTCCTCACTGGGAGTTCCCTACACCGATGAAATCACAGGTCTGGTTTAAAAATTATTCTGATGGCAAGGGGAGTTTTTTTGCAAGGCAGAAGAGACACAGGGTAGAGGCTATTTCACAGGAACAATTAAAGGACTATAACCTATAGCTGGTAAGAGAGATTAGAGTTTCAAATTCAGAGCTGCTCAGTAAAATTGACCTCTCACTCCTCAGGTGACCCTTCTTTGTCTGTAGCTTGGTTTGTCTGAAAACCCAAATGCCTAGATTTTTGACATCACAATTGCTGGCACAACACCCTTTCCTTCTCTTCCCTGAGGGTCCTTTGTCCTGCACCTGTCCATGGCAGCAGGTCTTACAAACTTTCTGGATTCAGAGGGAAATATGTCACTTTCCTCTAAGTGTTTCTCAAAGGGAGGGGAAAAAGGTAAAAGCATTTTATCTGCTGGTTGAGTAAACAGATTGCCTGACAATGTCTTGCTCATTAGGGCAAATGTGCATTTTTTTTAAAATGTAGTCTTGATGCCAAATCCTTTTTAGTTTCCTTTTTCTTTCTTATTTTTTTTTGTTTGTTTTTTTAAACCAGAGAGAGAATTTGACCCAAATAAACACTGTGGAGTATTGGATCCTGAGACAAAGAAACCTTGCACAAGATCACTCACCTGCAAGGTATTTCTCTTTCCATAAAACAATACTTCCTGCTCTTGCTGGGGCCTGTTGTCGAAATGTTTGCATGTCACTCTGCACGCGGCAGGGTGTGGAACTTCGACACGACCCCCAGCTGTTCTTTGTAGGGAAATGCTTTCTTCTCTTTCAGCAGAGCAGAGTGCCTGCCTCCAGCAGACTGGCGTGTTTTAAGGGAAAAAAAAATAGGCTTCCCTTGTCACTTGTGAGGCCAGACACTAAATCGTATTTATAGGCACTCACAGGCACTGTTCTAAACCCTGCTCCATTCTTATGTATGCAGCAACAGCCGCACTGCTGAGAGCGAACCCTGTAGTAAAGATGACGTGCATTGTCTCAAATCCAGCAACACCTGGGCTGCCAGTGGAATAGCTGACCAAAAGCAACTGTCATTGGTCCACCAAAAGCCCCAGTTAGCATCCTGAATGGAGAGAGGAGCTCTTGCCCTTCTCTGTATTGGGGCTCTGTTGTACTGGGACAGTGAGCCAGCCTGCCTTTGCCCTGAATTATGGTGTAAATCTAGCTCCCTCATGTTGCTTTTTTCAGCAAAGTTGATTGGATGGTGTCCATTATGAAAGTTGTCATTTTATGCCATTTTTAGATAAAGCTTCCGCTTCTCAGCAATATACATATTGGGCACAGTTTAACCTAGCACTTGGCGTACTGGTTGCATCTTTATAGCCGCAGAAAGCCGTTGCCTGAAAGTTGACTTTTCAGCATCTCTTAATTTCTTTGAATTGCAATTTCAGAAATAGAGGGAGCGGGGAAGCAGGTATACGTGCTGACCAAAGAAGCTGCTCTTTTGATCCTCCTTTTCTTTTAGACACATTCACTTAATCATCGAAGGGCAGTCCCAGGCCGGAAAAAGCAATTTGACATCCTTCTGGCTGAACACAAAGCTCGGTCCAGGGAAAAAGAAGTCTCTAAAGACAAAGAGCATCTCCCATCATCAACAAGGGAAACACATCAGAACCAGCCTATACCAGCACAAGACTCTCTTTTGGGATCTTCAATGAACTCTGGGCCAGAACTGAAAGTAGCATCTCCTGCAAAATCCAGACCACCTAACTCTGTACTTCCTAGGTAAGCCTCCACCTTGGGAATAGTTTTTGTCATGCTCTGGGTCCAAGATAGTGTTTCTGTTGGCACAGGACTTGGGAATGATTACATTGCATGTGTTTCAGTGTTGCATGACACAATCTATTAGGGTTTGTGCTTCCTTTTGCCAGATGGAAGTAGACACCTGATGCTACATCAGTCACTAGTTATTTATCTAGTCATCTGCTGGTTGTTATCTTTGTTGTAAATGGCAGAAGAGAGAATGAAACAAATGCTCAACAGATGAATTGTCAGGACATCCTTTAGACAGACGTGTCAAACTCAGCCTCCAGGTGTCCTGACCAGCAAAACTCCCCAGTGAGGCAGGATCCAGATTAAAATGTAATAGGGAAATGTTGAACCAAAAAAAAAAAAAGAAAATAGAATACAACATATATGATGTTAATTTGTGGTTTTCTAAGTCAATCTGCAACCCCCACAGATCTGTTTCTGTTTGAATTTGATACTGCTGCTTTAGACCAATCAGTATATAGCCTACCTAGGTCATTTCAAATTAGCATCCATTAACTGCATTTCTTGAAATCTTTGGGACTTTCCCAGAAGCAGGCTGAAATGAAAATTAGGAGAGCAGAAGATGTTCTCCTCTCAGTTCTTTTCACAGAGAGGAAACTGTTCCTTCTCTCAAGGCATTGCTTTTGGAAACAATTAAATCACTTTGGTTGGGCTCCATTTTGCCATCTTGAACAGAAATGAGACAACAGGATATATGGAATTAAAACTCATTTGGATTTTGGAGCGGTTAAAGATCTACTTTTTTTTTTTGCTGCGAGAAATCAAGAGCTATTTTGAGCATCAAAAAAAGCAACCCCTCTATATCACTTGTCTTGCTTTGAGGCTTGTATTTGGTCCAGTGTGACTGGTAGAGCGAGTCCCTGTGTCTGAATGGGAAAATATGATACTGGCCTAGGGCTCTGGATGTAGTGGAGTCCACAAAGACATCTGCTTGATGCAGGCCCACATTGCCATTATTATAATCAGCAGCAGCAGGTTCATCATTATAACTGTCTGTTTGCATGGCACTTTCTAAGTGTCTCCTGCTTTGCAATCATTTTATTATGTTCCTTACCATAAACCTGGAAGTTGTCTGGTCTTATTGTCACTCTTTCGCAATGAGAAAGCTGTTTCACACCTTCAGGTTGGGTACTAGTCTTATGTCTCCCCCCTTCCACACTCCATTTTGTCTATTTATATTCCTGTTTCTATAGCACTCTTCCAAGAAGAAAAACTTGGGCTCGTACTCAGTCCGTAGGCTCATCATGAGCATGTGTGCTCATGTGTGTGTGGATGTCTGTGTCTGTGTCTGTGCAGTCTCTTCTTTCTTTATTTTTTCATTGTATTTTCAAAGAAATGTGTGGCTTTGAGGAAACTGCATATGTTCATGTTCTCTTAGTCTAGTGACTTAGGGGAGTAAGCAAATACAGCAGAGATGGTTGGAGGGGATGGGGTATGGGCATATCATTGGAAATGCAAGGATAATTAGTACAGTTCCAAAGTTAGTAGTCTCATTTTTAAAAGCTGTTTTCAAAGTTAACACAGGCCAGAAAAATACTGACCCAGACTTGTTACGGAGCTCACAGGAAGCAAGGTTTCCTATAAAGTTGTGAATAGAGTGCCATGTTACATAAGCCAAGAAGACTAAGCATACATAGAGTTTGGTGTTGTAATCAAGTAAAACTTACAAGTGATCTGACACTTATTAATGATTGGCATAGTAGTTATGGCACATCTTATACAAATGGTAAGTAGTTCTGATAAATAGAAGTAATTAGTATTACTTTTACATAGCTAACCAGGTTTTTTTTAAATTTTGTCTTCTCTTTGTTAGTTCTGTGGTATCTATAAATAGCATTGGTATTATTGGTTTTCCTTTGTTTCATATACCATCTCCCCAGCTATTACCAGCCTCATGCCCCAGAGTTTCTGCCTTGAGCCCTTCAGCACCAAGGACAGCTAGGGATAACTCTTTGAAATGTGGAAGAGGAAGCTCTGTGATCTTCAAAGATTTCTTAGTTAGGTTTGGGACACAAAGGAAAGCAGTGTTTAAGAATAGCCATCCTCCATGAACCATTAAACCCATTTTGACAGCAAGATTCCAGTCCTACACGCTGAACTTGCCTTCTACATGGGACGATTTCTAACTGGTGAGCCTATGAGCCCATTCTCACCAGGTACTGGGGATTCGCCTGACACCTAAACCAATACTGCTGTAAAGATCCAACTCTCCTGCTTACTAGCATATTTCCTCAACCAAGGCAATTGTCTCTCTTACTTTCAATTTTCTGTTCTTTTAATTTAAAATAATAATCCCTGCCCTTCCTACTTCACACAGTTGTTGTGAGTATCAAATAAGTTATGAATGTAGAAGTGTGATACAAGTGTGAAAGGGGATGGTGATAATAATCGCATATCAGCAGTGGTAGATAGCTTAATGGATAGAGCATTGGGCCTAGAGCGAGGAATATCAGAATTCAAATCCCTCCTCAGATACTTACTAGCTGTGTGACCTTAGACAAGTCACTCAACTTCTGCTTGCCTCATTTTCCTCAACCATAAAACGAGGATAATAATAGCATCCATCTCAGAAGATTGTTGTGAGGATCAAATGAGGTAATATTTATTATAAAGAACTTAGTGCAGGGCCTTGCATATATTAGGCATTATATAAATGCTAGCTATCATTAGTACCACTTTACATACATACACTTACTTATCCCTTATGGATATCAAGTGTCCTAAAAAGGAAATTGTGGCTCTTAACAGAATTATCGAGGACCTATGAGATAGAATTTGAAAGTAGAACATCCTGACTTGAAGTCCAAAATTCTTTCCCCTGTCCTCTGCTGCCCTCTATTGCTTTATTAGCTGTATGACCTTGAGCAAATTTCTTTACCTCTCTGGGCCTCTTCATCCATGCGGTGAAGAAGCTGGACTGGATGGCCACTTCAGTCCCTTCCATCTCTTAAGTCTGTGATTCTATGAACAGCCTCATCACATTCCCTTTCCCTCTCTTTCTTCCCAGTTTGGTTATTTGTGTTGTCCCCAAGTTTTTGTCATGGTCCTCTGGGAAAGGCTAGGGTTCCAGAGCAAGGAGGGGAAGCTACTCTTCTCCAGGTTTCTCAGAACCAAGCGGGACAAGGATCACGTTTGCCTTCCAGACTGGAGGAGGATGGTGGGAATAAATGGTAGTGAGATGGAAGCTAACGCATATGGCTTCTTCATCAGCTGCCCCAGACCACTTCTTACCACTGCTCCCTACCACTGTCCCCCTCAAGCCCTGCTTCTCCTAATAAATAGGCTGGCTGGAAATGCCCCCCTTTTATCTAGTACTCTGCCTTGGTCTCTGCTCTAGAAGGAGAGCTAGCAAGATATTGGTTAAAGAGCATTCTGCACCTAGCAAGAATCTTTTTCACCTGCTTCCAAGACTCCCCTTGAAAGGAATATACGTAAGAAAAGGAAAAGACATGTGCTTGATTTTCTTTCCCCATATTCATACCATTTACATGCAGGAGCACATATACGAGAATATACCCATTGCCTCTATTAGCTTAGTTCCACGTCAGAGCAGAAGTGTCACTAAGTAAATAAAAGGGCTTAAAAAGAAAAATCTGCATGCTCCACAGTTCACCTTGCTTCAGAAGATGGCTACATCACAATTTTACTTCAAAGGATTATAGATCTACAGATGGAGTGGACTTAAGAGGCCACCAAGTCCAACCTCTACCATTTTACAGTTAAAGAAACTGAGGCCCACGGAGTTTAAATGTGCTACACACGGTCACACAAAAAGTCCTGAAAGGTGGGGTTTGAACCCAGGTCCTCTGACTCCAAAGCCAGTGGTCCTTCCATTGTAATCACATGGTTTTCCATGCTTTGCAACTGAGCATTCTGTTTATCTCCAGCCATGCAACTGAGCATTCTGTTTATCTCCAGCCATATACAAGTAAATAAAAGTTTTGTGGTTGGAGAGTTTCAAGGCGACTAATAGAGTGACTTATTTCCTTATCCTTGTCCTTTTTGCTGCCAATGTAATAGAGGCTTTTCCTACTCATGGAATAATGATGCTGGTTAGTAATAAAAGTCAAGATATTTCTTGTAGTAAGCCAGAAAAACTCTGAGTGGCTTTTATTTTAAAGCAACTATCTTTTGGGGGCTCCGATTCAGAATCAGGCCCATAAGACCAGGTCAAATTTCAAAGAAATAAGGAGGTCATAGTAAAAATGAAAGGGAAAGGACACAAATAAACACTATTAACATTCTCGTGTGACTTGAAGGGACAACCATCAAAGCAGAAGAATTCCATTCTCAAAAGCTTGCTGCCTCCTTCCATCTCTCTTTACCCCCTTTAGCCACCTGATGAAAGAGAGTGAGATAAGGAGATGGTTATTAATTGAACAGATCTTCCTTTAGGAAAAAAGAAAACAACAAAAATTTTGCTAAGATAATTGGGTCTGCTGCTGCTTTGGACGAATCCAGTGGCAATGTACAACTTGCTATGGCCCTTTTTTTTGGGGAGGAGTTAAACAAGCTTGCCCACAATCCAGATTGGAGTGGCTTTTTTTTGTTTAAATGAAATTTTTGGTGAAAGCATGCCACTGAGTAGATCTTATTAAACAGAGCCATTTATGCTCATTAAGTAAGTAAGTGATGTGGGACTTGGTACTTTAAAAGACATTTGTCTATCTAATAGGAGCTAGTAGCATCATCTGAATGGCAGGCTGTTTTTTCCTGCCAACATAATATCAGTACCATAAAGTAAGAGTTTAGCAGCAGAGAGGGTGCTGGGAGGGGAGCAGATGTCTTCCTTGTTCATTTGTTTTGTTTTCAATGTACTTTTCCACTTAGTCTTTTTCCCTGTTCCTCACCAGGAGCTCCACAGACCAATGAAATCATTGGTCCAGGCCTTATCACATAAGATGCAAATAAAATACTACATATGACATGAAATCAATTTTATGAGATGTTTGTTCTCCATGGATTCAGTTAATAATTCATATTGACCCGGTCTGGTTATCATTGTCTGAAGTTGGAAAACAAACTTCCTTTAAAATGATTTCTTGTCATATGAAGCATTTTATTTGCATATTAAGAGTTAAGGATTATACCAATGATTTCATTGCTCTGTGGAGCTCCTGGTGACAGATTTTCTCTACCAATGATGTTTAGCACCTTTTCTGTAACTTATAGTCTTAGAAGAGAAGGAGTTTTTAACCTGGGCTCCATAGGACCTTAAGGCACCAATAAATAGATTTCAGGAGGTCCATAAGCTTGGATGGGGGAAAAAATTACATCTTTATTTTCACTAACCTTTAATTGAAATTTAGCATTTCCTTCAACCATGTATATATTTTTAATTATTCTGAGAAGATGTCTGTAAGCTTCATCAGACTGCCAGATGAGTCTGTGACATATAAAAGGTTAAAAATCTCTGTCTTAGACAGCCACGAGAAGATTAAGTGATTTGTCTGGGGTCACAGAGCCAATATCTAGCAGATAGGACTTGAAAATTCAGGCTTTCCTGGCCCCAAGGCCTGCTCTCTATCTGCTATGCCATGCTGTCTCTCTTGCTATCTTCTATTTTATTTTTTCACCTTTTCCATGCATTATGCCCCCAAACCAGTGACTTTAAGCTGGAGTCCAAGATTAAGATGTCTGAAAACCTATTATTCATGTCACTGACTCATGATGTCTCTTTGGATCAGTCAGTTTTCTTCTCCAAGACTCAGTCTTTCCATGTACAGATTGTCAGAAGCAGTCTGGTATATTAGATCTGGGACATGGGTACAGAGCCTGCCCTGATATACCCTATATGTATATCACTATGGGAAAATCCCATAGCATCTCAATGCCACCCAGGAAACTCTCAGAAACTAAATTACAGAGGAGTTGCTGATGTGTGGTAGTGGAGAGAGTTTCCACACTGGGAGTTCCCTATATGGCTATAATCAATTAACCAACCAAACCCTGCAAAAAAAAGTGGACATTTACCATTGCCTTCTCTCTCTCTCTCTCCCTCTGAAGTATTGTAAAGATTTGTGAATGTGGCCTCTTAGAGAACTAACTTAACAAACACAACGTACACCTATTTAAGCTTTGTAAAATTGACTAAAATCGGGGATCTTAATAATCTCTCCTTCATCCCTTAGACCATCATCTGCAAATAGCATAAACAGTACCACATCTTCAAATCACAGTGGGTATGCCCCAGAACTGCCACTGCCCTCAATTGGAGGAGATCTAGCCAGCCGGTTATCCAGTGATGAAGGGGAAATGGATGGAACAGAAGAGACAGAGAAGTTAGACTGCCACTATTCTTCACATCATCCTCGACCCCTTGGGGTAAGTTTCTTCACGTCTCCATCTCTCCTTCCTCTGCTGTGCCTTCTGAGTGTTCAGCTCTCAGCATCACAAGGCTCATAGGCACCATGAGAAGCCAGTGGCAGCAAGCAAGTTTTTGTGTTTGGGGAGTGTGCTAGCCCTTAAGGTTGAATGGCTGCCATAAAAACACCCTTGAAAAACTCCTAAGAGAGAAAAGAGCTGCAGGCTGATTATGAGCCTTTAAACTGCTGAGTATTTGTGGTCCACCTTGAAGCAGTAACACTTGAGGAATGGTATTTATGTAAGTGCACTTGTGCGCTGAACCCATGGCCTCATCCATCTAAAAACGGAGCGTCGGCTTTCAAGGGCTGCTCTCACCCATCTGCTCAGAGAGCTGTCTGTGTTAGCAGTACCCCAGTCTGGCTGCTCTGGTTGGTTTTCTTCCCTGTTGCGTCTCAATTTTATTGTTATTAGTAAGCATGACCATATGGCACCAGAACCAAGGAAGCTGTGTGTGTCTGTGAAGTGGGGGAAGAAAGATTATGTCAGCATGAACCGATAAAAGGCGGCTCTCAGAACCATCAGCAGACATTTTTTAGATAAAGGAAGCCAATGGAGACTGAAGTGGTAGTTGTCATTGTTATTCAGTAGTTCAGTTGTGTCCAACTCTTCGTAACCCTTGTGGACCATATCATACCAATGCTGTCCGTGGGATTTTCTTGTCAGAGATACTGGAGTAGTTTGCCATTTCCTTCTCCAGGGGATAAAGACAAACAGGGATTAAGTGATTTGCCCAGAGTCACATAACTAGTAAGTATCTGAGGCTGGATTTGAACTCGGGTCTTCCTGACTCCAGGCCCAGTACTCTATCCACTGAGCTTCCTAACTGCCTCGAGTAGTGGTACAGCAAGGTAATACTAGAGACTTTTCCATCTTTGATATGTGACTATTAGAAAGAGACTCACAGAGGTAATGTCAGTTGTACTTGGTGGGTGGGATTGGGCTGGATTTAGTGACTCCACCACCCCTGCCAACCACTGCCCCCCCCCAGCCAACCTATGGCCTGTGTGGTACTTAGAAAGAATGGTAATGGGGCAGCTACGTGGCGCAGTGAATAAAGCACCAACCTTGAAGTCAGGAGGACCTAAGTTCAAATCCGGCCTCAGACTAAACACTTAACACTTACTAGCTGTATGACCCTGGGCAAGTCACTTAACCCCAATTGCCTAAAAGCAAAAAAAGAAAGAAAGAAAGACTGGTAATTTGACCAGCATAAGGACTGCAGAATTGAGTCTTTTGGCCCAAGTAGCAGAGAGGGGAGGGTTGTTATTTGCTGTTTGGGCCAAATTGTTTCTTCCTCTTTAAAATGATAATATTGGTCTAGGTGACCTCTGAGGTCCCTTCCAGACTCAGATCTTTAACCCTGTAACCTGTGATTTTATTCACACAGTAGGCCAAGACTTTGCCACTTGGCCAGTGCAGTGTCAGCAGTGAGCCAAGAGCAGGTGAGAGCAGAGGTATCCCTACGCTGTGAAACTCCCTATTGGTCCTGAACCAGATTAAAATGCAATTGGAAGATTAACAAAATAAATAAAAACACAGTGCAGCATAGATGATATCAGTAATTTGAGGTTTTCGAAGTCAACACGTGGACAGCAAGGATCTGTTTCTATTTGAATTTGACACTCCTGGGTCAGAGCATTACAGATTTTTAGGTAGAAAGGGAAGATGATACTGGTAGATCTAATACCACAAAAGACTTGCCTTTTACAGGCCTTCATGACAAGAAAAATCTAGAGGTTGCCTAGATCTGAATGCAAGCTGTCTTCTAAGTACCTTGCCTATTTTTAAAGATATCTGCTGGGGAAAGCAGTTCTCCTAACAAAGGCTAAATTAGGGAATGGGTGATGATCAGAAAATCAGGCTGTTGAATGTATGAGGTATCCCACCCTGGGTTGAAATAATCCCCACATACTATTACTAGCTGGCTTCCAGGTTGGAAGAAACCTCACATTTTCTTCTTTGGTTTGTAAATTTATCATAATCTAATGCAGAAAATATTTTTCATTAACAGATTTAGGACATAGTAAAATTTGAATGCCCCACCCCTCCCAAAAAATATCCAGCAACAACAAAGAGAAATTTTCCCATTTCCTCCTGAGAACTGTTCCATCAGATGGGTTGATTTCCAGGAAGAGTTTCCAGTATGAGAGCTAAGCCAGTACTATGTCTGGGATGAAGGCCAGAAGCTGCTGGAAGTCCCAAAGGAAGGGAAGAAAAGCTAAATTTGAGTTATAGAGTCATCTGCAGACTTACCTAAGCTTCTGACTCAGCCAAATGTCACCTTTTCACAGGCTCTCTTCTCCTTCTATTGGTCCTCTAAGACTCCTGTTGCCATAATCAAACAGTGCTTATTAAGCAGCTTCATCCATGTATTTCAGCCATATGTTTCGAATTAATCAATCAGTCCACAAGTATTAAGTACCTTCTGTGTGCCAGGCACTCTGCTAGGCACTGGGGATATAAGTACAAAGAATGAAACATTCCCTTCTCACAATGAGTTTATGTTCTAATGGGAGATACAAGTATATGTAAAAATGTATATGGCATTAAATATAAAATTAATAAATATAAATATATATCAGATAGCTCCTTATAAGATAGTTTGGGAGAGAGGGCACCAGGGAGTAGAGGGATTAGGAAAGATCTCATGCAGGAAATGGTACCTGAGCTGCATCTTAAAAGAAGAAATGAACTCTTTGAGGCAGAGGTAAGGAGGGAGTACATTCTAGGCATGAAATGAAAGATGGAATGTTGTTTTTACGTAAGGAAAAAGAGAAGGCCATCGAAAGTTTTCTGAAAATGATCTCATTAATGAGATGTTTTCTCCCTAGATTTGTCCTTTGGTGCAATGCCTATATGTACTCCTCCTTCTGAATTTCTTTTCCCAAAGAGCTGTAGCATCTCAAGAGTCATCAAAGAGACCTCAAAAGGTCCTCTAGAACGAGTCCTTTACCACACCTCTGATGATTGGTCACCCTCTCTTTTTGGAGTCTTTCAAAGATTAAGAACTCATTCTACTCTAAAATAAGCCATTCTTATTTTGGGGCAGCTCTAACTGGTAGGAAGTTTTGCCCTATACTCTCCTAAAAGTTGCCTCTCTGTAACTTTGACCCATCATTCCTGGTTCTGCCCTTTGGTGACTGATAGTAAAGATTACAGAATTCCAGAGTTAGAAGGGACCTCAGGGGTCACCTAGTCAAACCTCAGATCCATCCATGGTCCTGTTCTACAACATCTCCAACAAATGATCGTTCAACATTTGCTCAAACCCACCACCTACCAGGGGATCATATTCTGCTTTTAGGTGGTGGAATTGTTAGAAAAGTTTTCCTCTATATGAACCAAAACCTGCCATTGTTGTAACTTCTACCCAGAGCACCTGGGCCAAGCGGGAAAAAAAAAAGCCTAATCCCTCTTCTGTATGATAGTCCTTTAGTCCTTTGAGTACTAGAACACAGCTACCATGTTCCCCCTAAGTCTTTTCTTCTTCAAGATAAATATCCTCATTTCCTTTAACCAGTCTTCCTATAGCATGGTCTTAAGACCTCTTGCCATTTTTATATTCCCTTCCAACTAGGATGCTCTCCACCTTATAAACGTGCTTCCTAAAATGTGGCACCTAGAAGTAAATAAACATATTAACCCAGATGTGCTGACCAGAGCAGCACAAATAGAAAGGGATCATCAGCTTTTGTGTCGTGAACACTGTGCTTTTTCTTAGTCCATTAGCCTTTTTGGCTGCAATGTCTCACTACTGACTCATTAAGTTTGCAGCTTCCACCCCCCTCCAGCTCCCAGATATTTTTCACATGACTAAACTTAGCTCTGTTATCTTGTAATTGTGAAGTTGATGACTTGAACCCAAGAGTAGTACTTTACATTTACTGGGTTAAATTTCACTTCACCATTGTAACCTGTCAAGGTCTCAACTCAGTTATCCATTGTGAGAGCTGTTGCTTCCAGCTTCATGTCAGCTGCAAATTTCATAGCCACACCATTGATTGCTTTTCCAAGTCATTGATAAAATGTTGAACTACCATAGTTCAACATAGAACAATTCAGCCTCATAAAGGAAATCTAATGTATTTTACACATGAGAGCCCTCCAAATACCTGAAGACAGCCATCTTGTATCTCTCTTCCCACCTTCCCAGATCCTTCGGATATGCAGCAATACTATGACTACCTTTATTCTGGGTACTACATTCATAGCATTTAGTGCAGCTTAAGATGACTTTTGACTAATTAAGATCATGTGTGTTTTTTGGTCTGCCAGGTCACACTGTTAGCTCATCTTGAACTGGTATGGTACCAAAACACTCCACTCCTTTACTCATTAACCATTGTTCAACTGAATTTCCCCCATTTTGATGTATGAAGTTTGTTTGTTTATTTAACCCTGTTCATAAAAGAGCTTGGCATGAGAAAACAACAAAATGGATTTTCTCCAGCTGTTATGAGATTTGGCTCAATTCAACCCACATTTATGCAGTTTCTGCTCTGTATGAATATTGATCCATTATGAAGAATACAAAGGAAGAAGAATGTGCGTAGCTTGTAACTCTGATGAACTTAGAACATAGTTAGGGTCATGAGACAGATAAAACACACAAATAATTCCAAGGCAACATGGTGATATGGAAGACAGACTTTGAACATAGATACCACCAAAGTTTAGAGTAAGAAATCAGGTTGCTAGGGAGATTAGGCAGGAAAAATGTCATAGAAAAGGCACATCATACACAATTGAGGAACATATAGGCTAAAGATTGGCCAAGAAGTTGAAAAAGGGCAGTCCAAACAGAGAAGACAGCAAAGGGAAGATATGAAGACCGAAATGAGTGTGTTTTTGATGTGGGGTTTGAAGTTGCCTTTAGGAAAAGGAATAGAAATGAGAACCAGGAAGGAGACTGTCTTGTCTGGGACTAGAAGGGCCCTGTTGGGAGGTCATGAGGGAGAAGATTGCACAAGGCAGCTTAGTAGAGGGGATAGAGTCCCAGTGGGGCCCATCGGCCCGTCCAATCACACCTCTGACAGCTCTGAATGTGGGACTGTGGGCCAGTCAGTGAGCCTGTTTCCTCATCCATAGAATGTACCTAGTACCTACTTCTCAGAGATTTGCCGTTATTGTTATTGTTGTTGTTTTGAGAATTGAATTAGGTTGTATATAAAGCCCTTTGTAAACTTTAAAGTACTCTATGGAGCAGGGATTCTTAACATTTTTTATGTGTCATGGACCCCTGGGGCAGTCAGGTAAAACCCACAGACCGTTTCTCAGGATAATGTTAATGCATACAATAAAGTACATAGGATTACATAGGAAACCAATTGTGTTGAAATAGTTACCACCACTTTTTAAAAAATTCTTGTACTCCAGGTTGAGAACCCCTGATATAGAAGCATTATAGTGTAGTAGATAAAAGTATTGAAATTGGAGTCAAGGTTCAAACTTTCCTCCAACATTTATTAGCTGTAGGATATGAGGCAAATCACTTTTCTAGGCCAGTTCCCTCCCCATTAAAATGAGGGAATTGTGTTTAATGACCTTCAAAGACCCCTTTAGCTCTAAATTTACAATCCTGTTATATGCCAGTGTTTTTATTAGAAAATTGGCTAGGTAAGTAAAATTGATAGAGGACTTTAAAGCATAGATTTCAAAACAGCAGGGTGTCTAGAGTACAATCCAACACTTTCATTTCACAGATAAAGAAACTGAGGCCCAAAGAAGTTATTTAACTTACTCAGGGTCACATAGGTAGTAAGGGACAGAGCCAGAGTTCAAACCCAGGTTTTATGTCTCCAAATCTTACATTCTTCACACTGAACCAAGTTGCCTCTCATAATTTTTTCCCCTCGTTACTGCCCAGTAGGGCCCTTCTGGTCCAAAGTCAGGATTTGCATTTGGGTCTGATAAAGTTATGAAGTTATAAAATTGCTTTTAAGGAACATTCAGCTGACTGTGGTTTAACATGATTTCATTACCTACTACAACCACCTATGCCTCTGTACTTTTCCAGGTCAGGCCTCTATTATGAATTTGGCCATTAGCTATGCAGACAACTGTAGTGTGGCCTGATGCTGGGTTGCATCTAGGTTTCTGCAGAAAACCTGGATCTCATACTGAAGCAAAACAGAGATGTTTTTTGTCTTTAGTACTGTTTGCTTCTTTATTTCAAGTGAGATTGTGCCCAAGAGTGTATTTATGCAAATGTTGCTTTCTCTCTACAGTTTGTATTAGCTTATTAACCTGTAATTAAAATTAAAATGTTTTGTTTCAGTTTTGTTCGTTTGGGAGTCGCCTCATGGGACGAGGATACTACGTGTTTGATCGGAGATGGGATCGCTTTCGATTCGCACTAAACTCTATGGTAGAAAAACACTTGAATTCACAAATGTGGAAGTAAGTAAAAATTTCCCATGCAGCATAATGCTGCATGTTTTCCTTTACGTCTTTGAATAAGCTGCATTGTGGCGTAGTGGGTAGAAAGCCAGCCTCAGAGCCAGAGAGAAATTCAACTCCTGCCTTTGACATATACTGGCTCTGTGACTCTGGACAAGTCACTTCATCTATCAGTGTTCTAGGCAACTTTTAAAGGCAGAGAATGTGTCAAGTTGCATTGATGAAGGAGTTCTCTGTGTCAGTGAAGTCACAGGTTCAGTCCTTAGGCTTCAGACCCTGTAGGAGGAATCTATACAAGGTAGGTCCTCATCAAAATGGGAAAGAGCAAAATTTGATTCTTGCTCTTCCAACCCCCCCGTTAATTCTTCCCATCATCTTGATGTCTGATCCTTTCTAACCCCCCAGTTCCTGTCCTGTGTTCTGTTCTTTCACAGTCTTAATTTGGAAATGCTGCCAAATAATAGATGTTGATAGCTAAGGTGTTGGCATCTAAGGCTTAATATTTCCCAAGCATATTTGCATTTTAATAAGGAGCTCTTGAAAAGGAAAAAAAATAACAACACATAAAACCTCAAAGGAATAAAGCTATAATGATTGACTAGCAGCCAGTAAGGTTAATATTTTGGGGATGAGAAGCCCTACCCAGCACCTCCCTCAAATCACACTGCATACACAGTCTCCTTCTCTACCCAGAAGTAGGGGAGGTCCCAAGATTTTCTCTTCCTAGAAGGTGAGCTGCATTGGCACATTGGTTGTTTTCCTTCATTCTCAAAAAGGACTATCACTGTGTTGGGAGTCAGTTGTTCAGATCAGTAGGAACTCAGAAGGTTCTACCACAGATCAGGCATACATAGTCCATATTAACATTTAGAGTAGAGATGTCTCTAAAGTTGCATATCTCACGTTTCTTTTGAACCACTGCAGTTCTGCTTGTTTGGTGCATCAGTATCACAGCTCCTATGTCTTTATGCCCAGTATCGTGGTCCATAATTCTGATGAAAACAATACTTAAGCTTTTGCTCAGACAAACCAAGAGATTAGGGAGGAGCATCTCCTGGATAAGGCTGCTTCTTCACTCAGTGGCATTTTTCTTCTCTCCAAACCCAATGTAAAAGGAACTCTTGGTTCCTTTTCATATTGTTACCATCCAAAAAAAGTACCAAATCTGATTTCCTGTGAGGTGCCAGCTGAACTAAACTGTCTACATCACACATAGTGGGCTATGGATTGGATGTTAATATATCTATAAGGAAAAAAAGGAAGCATATAACTCTTCCATATTCAAGACACTTCCTCCTGGGTCTGAAAGGAGAGTGTCTGTGTCCACTAAGGATGCCTCCAGTTAGCATCGAATACAAGGTCTTTGTCTCTAATTATTTAGATACCAGGTATTATTTGCCCTCGTGAAGTATCTGCCCTTCTGTATTCTCCAGGGATCAGAAGGAGTCTTCAATATTCACAGATGCTTTCTTCATGTATTATGAAAAATAGAGTTGACCTATATCTGAATCCCTGGTGTTCACTCAGATGAAACTCAGTATTCCTTACCCCACCCCCCACAAAGATTCTACAGCCCAAGATTCTTTTATTTGCCAACTTTGTGTGTGTGTGTGTGTGTGTGTGTGTGTGTGTATGCATGCCAGTGTGCTCCCATCGCTGAGCAACGTTAAAGCTAATTTGAGGAGTAAGACACCCCATTGCCATCAAGGTTCCTTTACCTACATCCACTGGACCCAAACCTGGAAGAATGACAACTGATGAGGGCACTAAATATATTAGGAAAAAAAGGGAGGACCATGATTAACTTTAAACACTATCTTGGGAGATTTTAACATAGTATTATCATCACAAATGCAACAAGGCTAACTCCATACTCACTGTGCCTATTGACAGAAGAACTGTACATTTTCAACAGCTTACTAACATGTATCAATTTCATATCATATGGAAGTTACCTGAGAGTTTAAATGGAAACAAGTCTAGCAGCTCTGAAATCCATTGCCTTTTGGTTCTCAGAAATAAGTACATGTAGACTGATCGAGAAAGCTACCTCCTGATTTAAAGTGGGCACTCCAGGTAAAGAACTTTCTCCTGCTTTCCACATTCTCCTTCCACTGCTCCTCGCCTGTATAATGCCCCATCTTGGCTCCATTGTCTTCATGTTATGGTGGGAGGATAGAAAGATGAGGGGAAGAAGAACAAAAATTATACTTCAGCTGCCCCACTGTGTAGGCAAGGAAGGAGCACTTCCCCTCTGAGACTGATTTGGAAAAGTAAGGTTGTGATGGGTGGCCCAGAGGAGAAAGGTAGAAACCCTCAAGAGTGAAGACTAGCAGAATACAGACCTTGGTCTTAACACAGAATTTCAGTGTTCAAAGTGGGGTAGATAATATGGTCTCAGGCATTGCCTTGATAGCAAGCAAGACCAAGAAGCAGAAAATTGAGCATTCCCAACACTCACGTCAATGTGGGGTATCCAGTTCTGGTATGTACCTGAGCATTTACTCCCATTGAAAATCACTGGCATTAAAAATTGTGGATATGGTGCTAAGCCTGGAGTCAGGAAAACTGTATTTGATTCCTTCCTTAGACTGGACAAGTCAGCCTCTCTGAACCTGTAAAATAGGTTATGTTGATAATCTGATAGCACCTGCCTCAGGCTCGTTATGAGGCTCAAATAACATAATACCTAAGGCACAGAACAAACTTTAAAGTGTTGTATAAGATGTCAGCTCCTGTTGCTATTCTGACAAAGAATTCCTGATCCCTGATATAGCTGCCTTTTCTCTGAGCATATGTCTCCCCTACTAGACCTGCAGGGTGGTCACTGCATCATGTTTCCTTCCATAGGCACAGGAAGAAGTGTCTTAGATTACAATCCAAGACCCTTAGAGTCGTTATTGTTGAGGGGGGAGGGAAGGGGTGATGGAGGAGGAGGCAGGGGATAGCAGGAGCGAAAGTTCAGCTGGGTTGTCTGGAACCTTCTTCTTTCACTGACTGCCAAAAGGGAGTAATTTCTAACACCTCTGTGCCTGCCCTGAATGGCAGCCTCTGAAGGCAACAGGAACTTCTCCCTCTGAATTCACCTAGAGAAAATTTGCAAAGGAATAAACTGGACTCCCCCAAATGGAGAACATCGTGGATGCTGGAGAACAGTCATTTTATTGTCTAGACCCAGTAAACGGTAGAGTAGAAAAAGTGGGGGAACCCAACCCCTTTAGATTGGACTCAGTTATAAAGAGGGAAATTTGACCAGTTTACACTCCAGGGAAAGTTGACTAGGCCTCAGGGAGCAGTGGCTGTGTAGGAGGTGGCAATGTGAGCTTTGGCAGAGCAGTGTATAGCAGGGAGGTGTTGGCTAAGGCTACAGCCTCACACTTCCCACTTCAAGCCAGTGACTTGATGCAGAACTAGTCCCCTGCTTTCCTAAATTCCGAATGAACATTTCCCAGTAAAAAGAGATAAAGATGAAATGGCTTAGGGAAAATATAAGTGCATAGCATCCAGGTTGTATTCCAGATTGCACTTTTGCCTTTCACATGTGGACCCCTCTAAAATTAAACCGCTCCAACACTCACACATGGGGAATAGACTAGAATGTGGAACCCCCAGACTGAGAGAAATAGCCTGGAAGGAGAATCGGTAGAGGCCCAGGGTTCAGATTGTTACTCTGCCGCCTACTGCCTCTAGAACATAAGGCAAGTCACTTCATCTCTCTTGGCCTCAATTTCCTCATCTGTAAAATAAGGAGGATGGTCAAGATGACTTTAAAGGTTCTTTCATGCTCTAAATCTATAATCCCATGATAAAAAAATTTTTTTAGAGACTCTGTTGCTGGAATTTCTGATAACAGCGTAAGGGTAAAGGTGAGAGGGAGTGATATGTAGAGGCAATAATTAAGAATTTGGCATCCCGAAGGTTTTTGTTTTTCATGGTTTGGTCCTCAAGAGGTTCTCTTTCCCGACCTGAACTGCTCAGACCTAATCTGAGTTTCAGAAGGACATTGCCAATGCTGATGCTTGCTGTCTTCTCTCATTTTTCTGTCATATTTAGGAAGATTCCTCCTGCAGCAGATAGTCCCATGCCCTCGCCAGCAACGCACATCACCACCCCTGTTCCAGCATCTGTTTTACAGCCTTTCAGCAACCCTAATGCCGTGTATCTTCCTTCGGCACCCATCAGCTCAAGAATCACTTCTTCTTACATAATGACATCAGCCATGCTCTCAAATGCAGGCTTTGTGACAGCGTCGGACACGGGTTCCATCATGTCACACACCACAGCTTTCCCCCATGTGGCTGCGACGCTAAGCATCCTGGATCCAACTTTTAAGGCTCCATCTGCTATGTCCCCAGTGCCAGCTGTCATCCCTTCCCCATCCCACAAGCCATCCAAAACAAAAACCAGCAAATCCTCAAAGGTCAAAGACCTGTCTGCCCGTAGTGATGAGTCTTCGAGTAACAAAAAGAGAAAGCCACAGTCTTCTTCCTCTTCCTCCTCATTAACCTTGCAGACATCTCCCTCGTCTTCATTTTCAGGGCCCCACAAAAAGAACTGTGTCTTGAACCCAAGTTCAACATTGAACTCCTATCAGGCGACATCTTCCTATAACAGTCTGTCTGTGCACAATACAAACAATGGAACAAATCCACTCAGTGCCAAAATGGAGCCCTCAGGACGGACTTCACTGTCAAGTAGCTCCACAGACTCCGTAAAACACATGAGCACAGTAGTCAGCAGTATTGACTCCTGTAACCTGTCGGTGCCCTCCTTGGTGCACCATGCAGGGGATCTGTCCCTGGCCGCACACAATGCAGTGTCTTCTCTGCCCCTTTCTTTTGACAAATCAGAAGGGAAAAAGCGTAAGAACTCTAGTTCTAGTAACAAAGCCTGTAAAATCACTAAAATGCCTGGTATGAATAGCGTTCACAAAAAGAGCCCGTCCAGCCTTATCTCACCGGTGCCAGATCCTGCTAACAGCTCCATCGCTCGGCAGGTAAGGGACCCGATCCTTCCAGGTACCTTTTTTTTAGGTTCCAGAGAAGGCACATCCTCGCCAGGGTCATGGTGGGCTGCTGGAGCTGAGCAAAGAAAAATGGTGATACCCTGTCCAGGCTGGTTCAGACCAAGATATCTTAGACATCACTAGGTAGGTAGAGGCAGGGAGGGGCAGTAGATAGAGTGCTGCATTTGGAATCAGGAAAACCTAGGTTTGAATACCACCTCTGGTACTTATCTTGTGAACATGAGCAAGTCACTTAACCTCACTGGGCCTCAATTTCTTCAGCTGTACAATGGAGATAATAACACCTGTAATACTACACAGAGTTGTGAGGATCAGATGAGACAACGTGTTTAAAATGCTTTGTACATCTTAAAGTGCTATATGAATATTTGTAGTTTTTCTTTTCATTATTATTAGCACCCCCAAAAGGCTTGAATGCTTTTAATGTCCTTTTCTATTTAACAGTTTGGGTTAGTTGGCCCAGATGGTCCCATCTACCTCTTCAGGATCAAGAATTGCCCTTAAGTATTCTGTGCCCCTCTGGTCCCTTCTTCTGATTAGCTGCTTCATCTCGGTACCTCCATTTTAAGGAGTATGCCGAGGTTAGCCATGTCTTCACTCCTCTCCAGGCTCCACTCCTAACTCTCTGAATTTTCTCTACTCATGTTCCTACCTTTCTTTCATTTGTTTTCTTCCCACGTTAGAATGTAAGCTCCTTGAGAGCAGGTACTATCTTTCCTTTCTTTCTGCTTCTATCTGTGTTCCTAATGCTTAGCACTCTATCTGGCCTATAGTAAGTGCTTAATAGTGCTTGCTGATTTGACTTATTTCCACCATACCCTTCACTCTCTTCTAAAGTGCTAAGCTCTTTTCAGAACCACAGGAAAGACATATAGGGGATGGGGTGAGAGAATAAGAGCTTTCCTTCAAATAGAAGTATGTGTTTTATTCATTTGCTGTCATTTTTATTTTTTTAAATTTTGAGTTCCTTATCTCTCCCTCCCTATCTACCTTCTTCGCCCTCTTGAGAGGACAAGCAATTTAATACAGATTATACGTGTGCACACATGCAAAACATTTCCGTGTTAGTCATGTTGCAAAACATAGACCAAAAAAAATCAATAAAAAGTAAAAAAGTATACTTCAGCCCACATTCAGATTCTATCAGTTCTTCCTCTGGAGTTGGAGAGCATTTTTCGTTAAGTCCTTCAGAATTGTCTTGGATCATTGTAATTGCTGAGAACAGCTAATTGATTCACAGTTGATTATCATACAGTATTGCTGTTACTGGGTAATAACCAAATTCTTTGAGTGCTACACACTGCAGAGGCTGAAGGACAGGGTATATGGCCAGACAGCTTTTTGTCTTCTGTGCAGTAAAGCCCAACATTGGGTTGACACAGAAAACTGAAGGGAGTGGTCCCATTGTAGCTGAGTGAAGAGGAGTAGTGTTTCAAAGTTAATGTGATTCTGAAGGTGGTTAGGTCTCTAGTTTAGTTTGGTAAAAAAAAAAATTTAGATCTTCAACCTATGTCATCCCTAATTTGCTTGGTTACCAGTGACTGGGGTTCTCAGCACCTGCTTGGGCAAATTAAACTCTGCAACATAAACTAACCAGGAAAGAAATTATAAAATAGGTCAGTCAAATAGAACTTGGTCATGATGCCATGTTTCTTCTCCCTGTTCCCCCAGGCTTATTACATAGCTGGGCTAGAGAGACCTCTTCATTTTCTCTCCCCGCAAGCAGGGGAAAATGTACTTGTATCCCACCCATGTACCAAAGAAGTCATTTGTATTCATGGGGAAATGGATGTGCTATAACAATAATAATAATAATAACTGCACTCTTAGGGAAATGGATTTATGATGATGATAGCATTCATATGGCACTTTAAGGTTTGCAAGTTGCTTTACATATCTTAACTCATTCAGTCCTCACAACAGCTCTGAAGTAGGTGCTCTATTTTACAGATGTGAAAATTGAGGCACATAGGTGCTATTATTACCCCCATTTTCCAGTTGAGGAAACTGAGGCAGACAAAGGTTAAGTGACTTGCCTTGGGTCACATAGGTAGTAAGCTTCAGAGGCTGAATTTGAACTCAGATCTTCTTAACTCCAAGTGCCACAGTGTATCCATTGCACCATCTAGTGGCTCTGTGTACATATAGGTTGGAATTAGGGTTAGAGTTGTAACCCGTTAAGGAGAATTGAAAGGAATGACCAGGATGAGAGGCTTGGAAGTTGTGCTACCAATAGGCACGGATGGAAGCTTCATCTAGGTCACAGTGGAAAAAGACCTTTATATTGTAGGATCTCTCACCAGTGATGGGTATCTGGCTGTCTCTCGTCCTGTTGCACAAGTGCACAGTTTCCATCAGCAGAACAGCATGGGCAAAGAACAATGTCCATGACCTACCTTGGCATGGAACAACTTGGTATGAGCACTTAGTCAGATTTGGGGATAAAGATGGACATTAAGTGGTTAAAAAGATGCTTCTGTATTTTGATTGTGTCTGTTGAAGTTTATGAGACTCATCAAAACATGTTAAGGGGATACTGAGATAAAGCCAATAAGACAAAGTATAAAAGAATATTAGTTGGTGAACATTTATTAAGTGCTTACTCTGTTCCAGAGACTGTGCTAAGCACTTGGAATACAAATACAAACAAAAACAATGATAGTCCCTACCCTCAAGAAATTTACAACCTAATAGGAGAAGACAGCACACAAAACGAAGCTTAAAGGAGGAGGGCTTACCCAGCAAGAGTCTCATCCACAGACAGTACCTGGTGCAAGGGCATGATTTTGGACAAAAAAGTCCAAAAGCAGCATGGTTGGTGGAAAATGAGGATTGTGCTGAGGCCTCTCTTTAAGTAGAGGCTTAGGAGCCCACAGTCCTGTCCTTCTTGACCAGGCAGAGGGTCCCATCAGAGGGACTGATGAGAAGAAGCCTGATGAGATGAAAATACCAGGCATTTTCAATCTTACAGAAATCGCAAAAGGACATAAGGGAAAGAGTCCAAAGGGAAACACAATAACTGTAAGCCAGGGCCAAAAAATGGAAATTAAGAAGAGAACAGATGTTGCCAGGGCTATATAGCAGCAATAGCTGAGGTGGCTAATATTCTAAATAATAAGACTGGGTATGCCCACCTCGATAATTCTCAGCCACCTTCAGCTTCCATTGAGCTGGATTACCTACACAGACTTTGGCTGTTATATTCAGGGCCTCTTCTGGGGGCTGAGAGTTAATGTTATCCTAGGCAGTTCTAAGGATCAAGAGTAGGAACCTTGTCTTCATTTTTCTTTTCTTTTCTTTGTTGTTGCAAAACAGTTGGGGTTAAGTTACTTGCCCAGAGTCACACAGCTAGTAAGTTTCATTTTTCTTTTCATTCCCCTTCCCACCCTCGCATACAAGTTGATTTGAAATAACTGAGTTGAGAATCATAACTAAATTTATTCCGTGAAGAATTTTTTTACTTGTATAATTTTGCCTTTGGCATGTTAGGAAGGAAGAAGGGAAGGACAGAAGGAAGGGAGGGAAGGAGAGAGGGTTTGCCAGGGCTTTACAAATATTGTTGAATATGATCCTCAGAATAGTCCTGGGAGGTAGGTACAAATATCATCCTCTTTTTATGCTGGAGGAAACAAAAGCATAGCACTGTTCCTTTGTCTCTGCTAACTATGGAGTATTTGTTCCCTGTCCTGCCATGGCACAGCGAGCTACAAGGTGAGCCTAAGAGTGAAGGGGAAGGTTTTATATCAGGTCCATGACCCCCTAGATAAAAAGGCTGCCTTTGTTGGAGATGAGGACCAGTGTGGGGAGGGTCTGTGTTTGATCCTGGACTCATCCTGTGCGTGCTCACAGACAGAAAGACTTGACTGAGCCACGTGATAATCAGGTCCCCCAACCAAACCACCACCGTCCAGGACCTATCATTTGCATCTGTATCTGAGGAAATGGAATTTAGAATTCCCCACCCTGCTCTGGAGTTGCTCTTTCGGAGGTGGGATTAGATCATCAAGGCTCCATTCCAAGGCACTGTCCTTACCTTTTTTTATAAGACAAAAACAGTCATGCTGAATACCCTTCTGCCTTCTCCCAACCTCTGCGCACTCGTCTTCTTCCCCAAGCCAGGCTGCGTGTCTGAGTGTTGGTTTATTGGTATCTTTCAGGTTGGAAAAAATAGCAGTGTAGCTTTGTCACAATGCAGCCCTTCAAGCACACCCAACCTGGCACACAACCGACAGGTGAGTGGCTTCAGTCAGAGCACTTTAATGCTTCCTCAGAACCTTTCCATGGGGCAGCTAGATGGCACAGTGGGTAGAGCACCGGCCCTGGATTCAGGAGGACCTGAGTCCAAATTTGGCCTCAGACACATAACGCTTACTAGCTGTGTGACCCTGGGCAAGTCACTTAACCCCATTGCTTAGCCAAAAAAAATTTTTTAAAAAAAATGCTTTCCATGGGATGTACTTTCATGAAAGTTAGTATCATGTTAGGAAAGTGCGCAGTACACAGGGGAGTCCTTATAAGAACCAGGGAGTGTTCTTGGAGTCTGAGGCTGGCAAAGCTCAAAGGATGAGTTATTTATTCTTGGGCAAAGGAATGAGGATAGAGAAGAGACATCTCAATCACGTTCCAGGCTTTCTCCTGGCCCCTCCTGTCTGACTCAGTCTGTAAATATTTTCTGAACACCCACAAACTATGTAAACTGGAGGAGTATATGCAAAGGATCTGTGATTTCATCACAGTAGCAAACCACTGGTATGAGAGCTCACCCCATCAGCCCAGCTATGAATTAATAGTTAAGTCTTAGGGAGTTGTCTGAGGTAAGGCCCAGTGAATTTAAGATTTAACCAGAGTCACATGACTAGTAAGTGTCAGAAGTATCTTATTCTAGGCCCTCCTGCCTCCGAAGGCCTGTTCACTATGCCAAACTGCCTCTATTCTTGGAAGCATGGGATCCTCAAAATGCTTATTCTTTAATATTAAAAAAAAAGATGATTGTGTTAGACAATTCAGCTTTGATTTTACCACATCCCAGTATATCTTTAAAATTGTATTGATCTTTTGTTTTTAAATCACCTCCATTTCCAAATACATCTCTCCTCCCTTCTTTAGAGAACCCATCCCCTGCAACAAAGAATAAAAAAGAGAGAAAAACACAGTGTAGCCAAACTGACCAATACATGTGGCCTTGAGGCCACAGGTTCCCTATCCCTACAGTAAGTACTTTCATTCATTCAAACTCAGTTCCTTGGGAAGGCTCTGGAATCTGTCTGCCGTCCTAGAGGTAGTATACTTAAGGCTGGCACCCTTTGGAAATGACTCTATCCAGTAGCCTGACCTGGAATAGAACCATGTTAAATTCACTTTGCCACCTTTAGAGAAGGGAACTTCAGACTGTAATGTACACACACTACTTGTCTCATAGTGTTGTGAGCAAAGCATTTTGTAAAACCTGTAAGTGCACATAAAAAAGTTCTCATTCTCATTGTTGTTTGTTGTTGCTACTGTTGTTATTATTACAGTTTTGAAACAGACTTTGCTATTCTTTTCTTTCCTAGAAGACTGCAAACCGAACGGGCAGAATAAGGACCCTTCCATAACGAGAAAAGAAAGCAACCTTTGATGTCCAATTCCCAGCCACCCTATCCCACCACAGGTGTTAGGGGGTTGGGAGGGATGGGGCAGGAAGTGATGGGAGGACAAGTGACATCCTATGTCTTCTAGGTGTCTCAGCCCCACCTTTTAAAAATCAATTTAAGGTCTAAGAAAGAGGTGAAAGAAGACAAAGTGAAATTTATATTTGCCGAAAGCTGGAATCGTGGTTTTAGTTGTTTTTGTTGATTTTCCTTCACTCCTTCTCTAGCTTCTGATGTTGCGCTGCACCATCAGTTTGTTAAAATGATTCAGAGTAGACATTCCAGAACCTCGGTTCCTGATTGGCATCTTCCTTAACTCTTGAAGCTCTCACACATACACTACTTCCTTTTTCTGTTTTTGTTTGTGTTTTCCTCCTCGTTCCCCTACACCTCCCATTGCTCTGTGTCCAACCTTGTCACATTGGAGGGAGCTGGGTCTCAGCATGCTCCTATAACATAGCAAATGATGGGGGACACTCTGTTTGTGAGGGGGTCTGGGCCTCAGACCCAGCGCACAGGGAGCAGGTAGGAATGAGAGGATGTGTGAAGCTCTCATTAATCAGGGTTTAAGCTGCCCGCTGGGGCATGAGCCAAATGCTGAGGGCAAAACTAGGTATTTCAATATCAGCCACACCAATGTTTCAGGAGAGTTGCGACCAACGTGGTGATTTGCCCAACATCATTATCTAGGTGTGAGGTTGGGAAAGAATAGCTTTGGAAGGTGTAACCAAGGGTTTCTCTCGGAGTAGAAGGAGAAGGGAGTTAAGTATTGAGGGAGGTTGGGGACAAATGATCTGAGACAGCAAAGCAGGTATCATTAAGGGGATGACACATCACATCCCACATTCCTACAAATTGAGGAATAGGCACATGTAGGGGAAAACTCTCCAAGATGCCTGAGCCACAGCTTGCCCCTACCAAGTAGACTATGATAATTCTGAAATTTTTTAGGAGCCCATCTCTTCCTCTTTCTTCCACTCTGGAAAAGGCCATACTTAGTGTCTGATATGCAAGAACCCAAAGTTATAGGAACCAAAAGTGAAAGGAACCCAATTGGGAGAGACAGGGAAGCAACTTCAGGAAGGGCCAGGGCTCCTGCATGCTGCTAAAGTTTTCATGAGTTTTCCACTGTATCCCTCACCTGCATCAGGTGAAAAAAAGAAAAAAAACTAACCACAAGGAGGAAAAAGGAGTCTCCCTAGTGAAGGCACCTGAGAAGAAGGGGTCAGTACCACTTCAGCACCCTGTATGGACAAACACAAGCGTTTCCTAGCCAACTCTCATTCTGGCATATATCTGTGAACCCATAGGCCACAGGGGAGACCGTAGGAGGCATCACAAAACTACCAAATATGCCCATCTTGCTTACCCCCAAGTGTCCAGACATTGCTTGGTACTCTTCCAAAGCTCAATGCTCACCAGCCTTAACGTGGCCAGGCTATTCCTGTGCCCCCGGGGGCAATGTAATAATAGCATCCCACTGTGTAGGAAGAGAGCCATCACATTAGAGGAGTGGAAAGGTTAAGCTCATGAGAATTTGCTGGCTGGAATTATAGAGGGTAGTCGGGAGATGTAAAGTCCAGTGGAATAGGAAGTGACCGTGGGGGCCAAGGGGCCATCACAGCGCCAGGAAGAAATTCCGAGTCTTGAGTTAGGATTTCTTGGTATTGATAATAAATTTAGTTAATAAAATGTTTACTCATTTCTTTAATATTAGACTAATTTGGGGGGTTAAGGAGTAGAAATGCTGTGAAGTCTTTGTTACCAAATTAGACATTAATAACAGCCGCAGCTGGGCACAAACATGTCCCCTGAATTCTTCCTTTACCTTCCCATCCCCCCCACCCAATGATACTACTACTGTTGGGCTTTATCACACAACTGGAATTTGCAAAGATAAGAGGCAAACCATCTAGTTTGCATCAATGGAATTGCACTGACAGTGTTTCTTATAGGATTACTAAATTTTTTATATATAAAATAAAGATTTTTTTAATCAGGAGTTGATAATAGGTACCAGGACATTAGTACAGAGGATTTCATTTTTATTTCTACAGTGTTAAAAGTGCACTTATATGCTGGTTTAATTATGTCTTTGAGAAAAAGAGAAGAGACTGCAAATAGAAGGGAGATTGTTACTTTTTTCTTTTTTTAAAAAAAAGGCTTAAGACAGATTTTAAGACTTATAAATGTTTAAGGAATTATAATAAACAAGGCTAGACCCTTTGAGAAAAAAGTTTAGAAAATATTCTTAAAGTAAGTTTTTATAGTGTTAATTTTGTAATAATTTATGTTTTACTATATTACAGAGCTAACTGACCAGAATAGTTTCAGAAACAATATGAAACTTAGGAAAGTTTAAGCAATGTTTATATTTTTAAAATGTTCTTTGAATTATGTTTTTATTGTACATTTCTTCAGACTGAAAAGTGTGTACATATCTTTGTTATTTTTGCACAATTTTTTTTGTCTTATTCAGTTTTAGGAGCAGGAAGTCTGTTTTGTTTTTTTTTATAATTTATTTTAAGTTGTAAAACTTGCAGGAGTTTTTGTTTGTGTTTTTTTTTAAATCTCAACAACAAAATAACCCTCTGTGATTAATGGACTGTTGCTACTTCTGGAGGGAAAGCAAAGGTTGTGAGATTCAGTGGCTGCTTCTGAGAAAGAAAGTCTTGACAGTGACTAAAGGAGCAATTAATTACCAGTAGTTTGACCGCCTTTTTAGCTCTTTCCACGCATCTTTTCATTGGGAAGCTGGAATGTTGAGATTCTCCATCAAAAGCTGCTTACATTCCTCAACTGGCTCTGTAACTAAGTGATAGCATTTCTGGAAAACGGAACATCCTGAAAACCCGTGATACTTCTTCCTTCACAACAAATCAGTGGTTTACTTCCTAATACGTTAAGATGCTCAGCCTGAAAAAAGAAATGGAAAGAAAACATTTTCTTTTGGGTTCTTAATGGAGTTAAACTGGACCAGTCGATAAAGCATTATTAGTGTAGCATCCATTCAACCATTATTTTTCCACCAACACTCATCGACTTTCTTCAGCCTGTCCTGTCACTGCGCACCCCAGTCACCTCCATCTCCATTTGCCTGAAGATCTTGTGATTTGTCTCCAGCAATAGAGGCTCCGAAGCTTTGGTTGTTCCACATACGCAATGCATAGACCTGTCAGCCATAAAAAAAAAAATTTTTGAAAAAAAAGCGACTTGGATAACTTGTATGCCTTCTTTTGTATCAATGTACCAATTGTAAATAATGCTGATCAACCTTTGTAGAGAATAGTTTATACAGCATATTCTATTATTGCTGATTCTCAGTGAACTATTGTTTTAAAAAAAGGAAAAAAAAGAAATTTTTCTATTTACACCTTATATTTTGTTATGCTGTCGACCCATGGCACTTTAACAAAACTCTGTGGGTTTTGCATAGCTGGTCAGTCATGGGGTATATTAAATACTGTTGTTGCACAGAAAAGAATTTGCACCTGCTCTATTGTGCTTTCCTACTACAGATTTTAGAACCTTTTCCAGAAGACTTTTGAAGAAAGCATGTCCAATCATTCTAAAAGAAAAATTATATGCCATACTTATAGAGTGGATTTCTTTTCTACGATCCATATTTTGTAACACTAAGCATTTCCATTCTTTGTCCTGCACCTTTATGTATTAGCACTATCGGATAGAATTCATTCCATGCTTGTGATAATTGTAAGCAGAATAAATGTCTAAAGTAGGTGTAAATAGTAACTTCTATGGCTTACAGTTTAAAAAAAAAAAAGGAAAAACAGAACAAACATGTATCTGATTGATACTGCCATGGTTCATCACCAGGCCTGGAGATATTCTCTAGTGAGGGATTGTATTTTTTGTTTTGGGGTTTCGTTTTTTGGGGGGGGGTTTTGGCTTTTTTTTTGTAACATGGCTTTGTAAATAAAATAATTTATATGTTTGTAAGAAAAATGTGCTATTGTTATTTATTTTTATATACATTAGACATAACTGATGCTATTGTTCTTCCAGAAGTCCTTTTTATTAGTCCTTGTAGATTTGGGTTTGTCTTTTCCTGCTCTGTAGTAGCAACCCACAATTCTGCAAGAGAAACCAACTGAAAAGACAAAGAGAATGAATGTAGCCTTTCCAAATGGTAAAGTTGTCTGTTTCTGACCTCTTTCCCAGTGAAACTAAATCTAACCCTTTTTTTGTATCAGGATCAAATCAGAATGTATAGATTTTTCCAAAAATTAGAACATCGTGGATTTGGACCTAGAAGGGACCTACCTTCTAGGTCTTCTTGTCCAGTGATCTCATTTAAGTGATGAGAAAACCGAGACCAGAGAGGTAAAGTTATTTGCTTGAGGTCACACATGTAGTAAAGCTGGAATTTGAACGCAGGCCCTCTTGACTCCAAGCCCTCTGCTCATTCCACTGCCCCACTTTGATGCTCAGCACAAACTAACATTTGTGGCCTAAGCTGTAGTTTATTTAGGCAAGAGAACCCTTGGGAAAATTTAAATTCCTAGAATTTCTTTAACATTCACCCCAAGAGATGCCTAACCCTGAGAGTCATCAACTCCAATACTGAATATGCTACAGCAGAGAATATTGATGAACCTCTTACCTGACTTTCTGTGACTATTCCAGATTCCTTGGAGCATCATGACTAATTAATGCCCATGTCCCCTATTTGTGATGTCTTGTGACATCACAATTTTGAACCTTAATAGCAAAAACCACATTGAATTCCTATCATAACCTAAGTCTCCCAATGAGAGCTTTTGTACAACACTGAAGCTGTAGGTCCAGAAAAAATCAAAATCAAACACAGATGGCATTTTAGTCTAGGCTTATTCCTTAAATGGCTTGAAGTAATGATGTCATATACATGTGTCACCTGAAACAGTACAGTTCTGATGTCTAATTATTTTTTTTCTGATTGTGAATTCCTGAAGGAGATGTATGTTTAAATCAATATCTAAAGAACTGTGATTTCATTGCTTACTTCTCCTCTATTACAGAGAACAACCCCTCTTTGACTTAGTAGACAATCTTCATGAGTGGCTGTGAAGTTAATTTTTCAGCACAAGTCTGCATTTATCTGTATTACATTTTATCTTGTTAAATTTGGCCCACTGTTGTAGCTTGTCAGTGTCTTTTTGAATCCTAACTATCATACATCTATACCTCACAGGATTATATAATATCATCTGCAGATTTGATGAGCCATCTTTGTCTGTCTCCATCCTATGTCATTGATTAAAAATGGGCAACAGTGCAGGAATAAGGACAGATTCCCTAAAGCAATCCACTAAGACACTTTCTTCCAAGTTGATGTCATAATATTTCTTTGGTCCTGCCATTCATCCAGTTCTGAATCCACCAGTGCTACTTCCAATCCATTTGTCTCCCATCCCATCCAAAAGAATAACATGAGAGGGTTTGTCATGCCCTTTGCTGAACTGTAGGTAAACTGTATCCACAGTATTCCAATAATCTACCAGTCTGAGAAACGTGTCAAAAACAGAAATGAGGTTAGGCTGAAATGATCACTCAAATGAAACTGCAGGCTCTTAGCACCATTTTCCCTTTCTAGACGTTCACAAACCATTCCTTTATTAGTATCTTCTTGAATTTTACCGAGACTCGAATCAGCTCCCTGGTTTTGGCAACAACCACCATAAGTTTCCAGTCTTCCATGGTTCAACCACCAGATAAACGTTTGCCCTTCTCCAGTCTTGAGGCATCTCCTTCGTTTTGTTTCTTTCCAACAATCGCTGGTGGTGGTTCATCAGTCACATCCATCAGTTAGGCAACAAGCATTTATTGAGTGCTTATAATGTGCCAGGCACTGTGCTAAGTGCTGGGACTACAAATGCAAGCAGCTTTTTTAGTACAACGGGGCATAGTTCAATCAAGCCAAGTCATTTAAAGGTGTCCAGGCCACAGAGTTGCTCTCTTACTACTTACTTCCTTAGCGTGGATTTGTATTCTCCAATAACCATTTTTATTCTGTCCTTTCTAGTCTAATGGTCATATTCCCTTACTGAGAAAACAAAAATAAAATTGGCATTGAGTAGTTCTGTCTGTAGGCTGTTATTCTTGATCATGGGCCCCTCAACCCCCAGCAGTTCTCACCCTCTGCCCTCTTTTCTCGAATACAGATAATCAAGCCTTTTTTTTTCTGTTATCCTTAACATTTATCACCAATTTCAGCTTATTATAAGATCCTTAAGTAAATATGTCAGCCCTTCACATTCAGCCTCCATTATCTGCCCCTTGTGTCTTTTAAATCTAAGTTCATCAATAAGTTCTCTACATTCATACCAAGTCCCTTTAAACTGTTTCTTTATCAGTTCTTTACTGGAACTGCGTTTCCCTACACCTAAAGAACATTATTCTGGAGCATCTCTAGTCCCTCCTGTGCTGACTTCCTTTAGAGAATTTAAATTCATGAGATCTTCATTCTTTCTCTGAATGTGTTCAATTCTGCTTTCCCAAAATCTAGAGTGCATATCAGAATATACTCTGCTTTCCTTTTCTCCTCTATCATGAATTTAAAAGGTCATTTTGCCTCTGAAGTTACCATCATTTCAAATTTAGCCCCCAATTCCCCTTTCAGTTTCCTACACATGTAGAAGGATGAAATTATTATTAAGATAAACCAAGAGTTGAGTAGATGCCCTGATTTTGATACAGAAAAAGATCTAGAAGACATAGAGAAAATTGAAGTCCCTTATTACTCTGTTATTTTCCATGCCAATCTTTATGATGTGGTTTCTGAATTCATCCATTTCTTCATGTCCAAGTGATATTGTATATTCTTTTACAAAAATATTGTTTTCCATCATGTTTCCCTCTCATCCCTGGATTTCCTCATGTGAGTATAATTTTTAATATGCAGTGCTACTCCATTAGCCCTTTTATCTAGTCTCTTCTTTGTTAATATGTCATACCCTTTCAGAGTTATATTCTCAGTCATGAGACCTATTCCACTAAATCTTAGTGATGTAAGGGGGACTATGGGTATGGAATAGTATATAGAGTCAGATAAAGTTGGTATGTTGGTTGGTTTTGCTGAATTGCCTTTTTTTTCTTAATTTTTGTTACAAGAAGTGATTGGTAGGGGAGAAAGAAAGAATATATTCAAAAATGCACACAGTGTAAAAAATAAATAAATGAAAAGCAGACCAGCAAAAATAAGATTCATTTTTAATGGAATTTTTTTCATCTGATACCTATGTGGACAAATTGTGTCCTTGCAGTAAGCTCATTAATCCAGCATGTTTAATATCCATACTTTCTGTATGTAAGAGGCAGTGTAGAATAGTGGACAGAGTCAGGAAGAACTGGGTTCCAGGCTTTATTACTTGCTGGCTGTGTGACCCTGGGCAAATCACTAAACCTCTTGGTGCCCCCAGACAATTCTTTCTAAAACAGTAAATTGTGGAGCAAGGGTTGAACTTCATTTGGTAGAGAGAATTTCCTTGCAAGAAGCTCCCTACAAAAATGAAGCCAGTCAAAAAAGAAAACTGTGCAGACATTGTGGCCATGAGTTCTTATCACTCTTCTTTTCTTGGATTTTTGTCTCCAAATTACAGAGACTCTGTCCCTCCTGCTATTCTTCCTTCGTTGCAGTTGCTACTGTCTGTGGTATCCTACTTGGTAGATAACAGGCAGCAGTTTTCATTCTCACCCTCCCTTTTCAGTTCAAATCTCAATCAGATTTGCATCATGTGAGTGAATACACACACACACACACGTGTGTATATGTGTATGTATGTGTGTGTATATATATATATACATATATGCATATACATGTACATATAAAATATATGCATATATTTTTAACAAACCCCCTTGCTATTAAAATGCACACGTGGGTGAGGGAACCCTTTTATGTAGTACATTAGCATGAACCAGTTTATTAGATTAGTTGTTAATCTAGTATAAAATAATCAGGGGACATACAGTATGACAGATATTTCTTTGCCCTGGGGGAGGAAGGGATAGTGGGAGGTGTAAAAGTAGGGGGATCCCAAACAACCAAAGAACAGTTCAACAACTATTTATTAAAGTGCCTACTAACTGCAATGGCAAACAAAGGCAAAGCAAATACCTGATGCTTTGAGGAGGAAGAAGGCTATAACTAGTGGGACCAGGAAAAGCTTACTTAAGAGGTGGCACTCAAGCCGAGCCTTGAAGAAGACTGAGGAAGGAGTCTAAGAGCCAGAGACGAGGAGGTTGTACATTAGAGGCATGGGGGGACAGCCTGGGCAGAGTTGGCCTTGGAGAACAATGGCAAGGTGGCCAGTTAGGTAACTCTGGTGGAGGTGAAGGGCAGCGAGGTGAAATAAGTCTGGAAGGGTAGGGTGAAGATCTTTCAAAGCCATGCCAATAAGCTTGGATTTAATCCTGAACGTGATAAGGAGCCAGTGAAGATTTTCTAGGAGGGATTGTTACACAATCAGTCATGGGCTTATGGGAAGATTATTTTGACAATTTTGATAGGGTAAATTGGAATGGAGGTCATAGGATCAAAGATTCAGAGCTAGAAGGGATGTTCAAAGTCATTTAGTCCAACTTCCTCATTTCACAGATGGGGAAACTGAGGTCCAGAGAAGTTAGAGACTAGAAGCAGGGACACCAATTAGGAGGCAATTAGAATAATTTGGGCAAGAGATGATATGATGTAACAAGCCTAGGAACTAAAGATGAGAAAAAACAGCCTAAGACAAATTTCACCTATTATACTTTGCCATTTTGCCCAAGGTCTATCCAGTAA